ACTCACTATGGTACAGCTTGTCATAGGAAAGGGCGGGGAACAACTGATATCCATCAGCTGGGATTTACTTATGTAAATTATGGAGCACTGGAATATTATGCAACCATTAAAAAGTGAAACCCAGGACACTACTCTGTGTACTGATATGGAATGGTCATAAATATAACGTTACCTGAAAAAACATGGTTAGCTGAAGAAAACAAGGTGCAATACAGTGTGACAGCAGAGGTTCAATAAAATGTGGTTTCCTGTGGCCCCTCAGAGTCACCCCCATTGCCCCCAACAATAGGGCCTGCTCTCCCTCCATTCCGACCAGGGCCTGCAGTACTTTGGGGCTCTACCTGTCTAAACATTGCCGTTTGTGTGAAAAAGATGGGAAGGGCTTTGCTTGCACATGCAAAGACTATTCTTAGAAGTGTTTACAAGAAACAGGTAACACAGGTTGTCTATGGGAAGGAGAACGGTGCCTGGGTAACAGGGGTAAGAGAAAGACTTGCTGCCTCTTATGGCTTCTGAATTTTGAACCACATGAAAGCATTACCATATCGAAAAAGTAACTTACATGAAAAAAATGCAATTCTGATATGACACACCTCTACACAGACCCTTGATTCCCTTTCCATGGCATTGGGCAGTCATCATGAGCTGCTGCCTGCCTTGAATTACTTTTTAATGGGAAAGATTCTCAGTGGCAAGTGACAGAAACCCAATTCCAACGGGATTAGACAAAAATTGTAATTTGTTGTTTCACATACTGGGTGTCTGCTTCAGGCATGGCTGGATCCAGGAGCACAAGCAATGTCATTGAGATTCATTCTCTTGGTTTCGCTTTTCTCTGTGCTGGCTTTATTCTTAGACATGATCTTCCCTTGGGGTGGTAAAGCTCGTCACCAGCAGCCCTGGGTTCGCACCTTGGCATTTGTAACCCTACGACTCCCAGCAAGTCCCCAAGCTGAATTTCATCAGTGTCATATGCCCACCCCTGAACCATCCCTATGACTCAGATTGGCTGCACCTGGGTCTCAGACCCAGTTTTAGAGGCCTCCCTCCAGGTCCAAATCACAGTGGGCTCAATCACACTGGAGACTCTGGAAAATTGAGGGCGGTCACCAGAATAAGAGGGATGGATGCTGGGAAAAGAAAACAGTGCCTTCTCCCTCTCCCACGCCATGGTCCACTGGACATCTGTTTTCTGATCACACCATACATAAACTTGTACTCCTCCTGACCTTTGCCTCTGCCTCTGCCTGCTCCCCCTAGTATCCTTCCCTTTCTCTACCTGGAAAACTCCTACTCATCCATCACTACCCTGTTCAAGTATCACCTCTTCCTTTAAGCCTTCCTAACTCTCCCATCTGCTTCCCCAGCTCTAGCAGAACAAATCCTTCCCACTACTGTTCTTTTTGGTTCTTCATTCAATGCACAGTCACTGACAGCCTCATTCATGCTGGCCTGGGACAAATAGAGGTGAATCAGAGCCGGCCTCTGTCCTCAAGGACCTCTGTTGTGGCACAGAATACGCTGTTTTAGAACTGTTTATTTGTTTCACTCTTAGGGACTATCTGTTCCCTAAGAGCTGGGGCCCCAGCCTTGGCCATCCGTGTCTTCTCTAGTTCAGCACAGCCCCAGGCACAAGGTAGATGCAAATATGAGTTTTCAAAATGAATGATGACAAGATGCCTTGAAGGGGGAGGGGAGAAGTGTTGAAAACGGCCTTTGCTGACTCTGTTCCCCAGGCTAAAGGAGAGCAATGCGGCTTGGGCACTCCCAGAGGCCCCAGGGAGGAAGTGCCTGGGCTGGTCCCTGCTAGAACAGGACTGTCACTACTCTGGAAACCCCCATGGCCCTGGCCTGGAGCCAAAATCGAGACCCATAGGAAAGTCCCCCAGCAAGGCCCTGTCACCCAACTCCCAAGGAGGGTACAAGACAGAGGCTGAGGGTAGTTCCAAGGGAACACTCTTCTCGAATCCCAGCGTCTTACGGATCAGAGTTCTCTGAAGTGGGGTGAAGCGTGAGGAGGGCAGGGCTGGAGTTGGCAGGAGCCCAGGGGAGGAAGGAAACAAGAAACAATCAAGGAAAAATCCTGGGGTTGGCTCAGGCCACAGAGCCCTGCAGGCCTGAGTTCAGGCTGGGATGGGAAAGGCTTCCTGGGGGTAGGGGGTGGGGGGCTGGAGCTGAGGCACCTCCAGAGACCTTATCTCTGCTCACTGCCCTCCTAAATTCCCCGCCAGATTATCATCACCCTTCCCTTGGGACTGTCTGCTCCAAGACCTGCCTCCAGACTCCTGGTTCCCATCGTCCCACCTGCCTCCCAGGGCCCCAGGTTCCTGGTTCGATGTGGCTATGGAGAGCAGGTTCCCTGCTGGTCCCTCCATCCTCCCCAGCTAACCTTGGAAGAGGGGGCTTCTGACTCTCTCCCGTGGGCCCATGGGGACTGGGCCTGCTGACGTGGATGGTTTCCAGGAAGAAGAGGCCGGGAAGGGAAGGAAGGGCTGAGTCAGTCCTTGTGTGATGGTTACAGGGCCCTGTGTTGGAGGAGCAGACATGGGTTTGAGGGGAACAGATTGGGCCCATCCCAGGGCTGCGGAGAGGCTGCAGGCTGAGGAGAAGGAAGCTGAATACCTCATACAGGGTGTTTCTCCATTGCAACCTTCTTTGCCTCTCACCGCCCCCCTCCCAAATGTCCTTCAGGGTCCTGCCCTCTCACTCACCAGAGTATCCAGGAGCCCTTCCAGCAAGAGCAGCCCAGATCCTGGCTGAGGCATCAGACCCTAGACATGGGATGTAGGCAGTGGGCGGGGCGATTGGCCTGAGTGTCTGTTGGGTCAGAAATATAGGGCACCCCAGCTGTCCCCCCGGTTCAGGAGCCCAACCTCCCCGCCCAAACTCAGGCCCTTATGCAAAACCTGAGGAGTTGCGTAAAAATGCCAATTTTAGTAAATGAAATCCTGTTTCATAAATGCTCATTTACTGCTGGCCTCCCATGGCAGCTGGGTGTGTGCACAAAGGTCCTGTCCATTCAGCAGATCCAGGAGTCACTGGCAGCAGGCGCCCAGGGCTTCCTCAAGCCCCAACCAAGTGATATAACCTCATCTGGAAATGGAGAGAGTGAACCACCCACTTGAGAGCTTGCAAAGCCCAGAACCCACCCCCAGGTACAAATCACACCTTGGGTATGGGCTTTGTGGGGACCCTTTGCTTTGGCTGAGGGCAGGAGCATACCAAACAGCATGGGGTGGAAACTTGTCAGATTCAGGTGGGCTTAAAACAGTCCCCAGAGCGCAGATGGAGGTTCCTCTGGCTTTGGGCCCTGGTTGGGAGCCCTAGCCTGGCAGTCAGGCTGGACAGCACACTAGTAATTGAGCGAGGGAGCGGGGGTTTGGGCAAGGCTGGTGGGGCCAAATTGGCCACTCTCTACCCATCCCTCAGTGCTACCCAGTTGTGCCCCCAGAACCTCTCCAATGAGCTCTGGACTTGGTTCCCTACTTTCCGTGGCCTTGGGTGAGCACCTTTGCTGCTCCAAGCGTCCATTCCTGCAAATTTCTGTTTTTGTCACCAGCTGTGAATGGAGCTCCTGACCCTTCCTGTCCCCTTTCCCCCAATTTGCTGAGGACTCTCAGCAAATGAGCAAGGGGCAGGGGGCTGCACCTCAGCCACATCCCTGAAGGCTCAGGGGGCTTCATCACTAGAGTCATTCCAGGTCAGGTGGCAAGGCCAGCCCGCCCTTCCCCAAAGCTCCTGTTATATTGTGCCACCGAAACTGCCGCCTGCCACGGCTGTGTGTTGCCACCAACAAAACACACGCAAGTCCCTCATCTTATTTGGGACTCACTCAACTTCCATTTTATAGGCAGGGGGGTTCAGAAAGGGACTGTCTTTTGCCTGTGGCCACAGAACAAGCCAGCAGCAAACCAGCTCAGAGCCTGGGCTCCTGGCTCAGGGGCAGTGCTCAGGGCTTGGCAGAGCTGTCCCACCTCTCCCAGGGCTGTGTTGTGGGAGGGAAGGGAAAGCAGGGGTGACAATGGCTGGGTGAGCATCCTGAGGGGAGACGAGGGCCCAGCGCCTGAGTGTCTTAACATTTTCAGGCCGAGCGGATCGCTGTTAGTGCCCCAAGCTTCAGTTTCCAACTCTGTAAAGGGGGACAGTGATGCTGGCTCTGCCCACCTCACTGGGCTTCTGGGGACAAGAAGCACTTGGTAAGATCCATAGACAGGCCTGGGTGGGTGGGTGCCTGATAGAGCCTGGGTGGCAAGAGCAGGGAGATGTATAACTCTTACCCACCCACATCACAACTTGGCCTACGGCCACCATGTCCCCTCCATCCACTGTCCAGGACAGTTTTCCTCTGGGCCACCAGGCCAGTCCTGGCAGAATCCACCTGATTGATGCTTCCTGGGGAGTTGAGGGAGGGGCCGGGAAAGCTAATGGTTAAAACCCAAAACTTCCCTGTATTAGTTTTCTATTGCTGCTGTAACAAATCACCACAAACTTGGAGGCTTAAAACAACACAAATTTATTAAGGTGCAGTTCTGTAGGTTAGAAGTCCATCAGGGGTCCCACTGGGCTAAGATCGAGGTGTCAGCAGGGCTGTGGTGACCACATTCTTGTGTTTGTGGCCCCTTCCTTCATCTTCAAAGTCACCAACATAGCGTTTCTCTGACCCATCCTCCATCGTCACAGCTCTGCTCTGACTCTCCTTTCCTGCCTCTTTCATCCCCTTTTAAGGACCCTTGATATTGCATGTGGCCCACTTAGATAATTCAAGATAATCTCCCTATTTTAAAGTCAGTTTATTAGCAACTGTAATTTCATCGGCGACCTTAACCTTCTATCTCCAGCACCCTATGTAGGGCTTGCCCTTCAATAAATGTTTCTAGTACCGTATACATGAATGAATGAAGGAATCAAGTTGGAATGAGTCTTAGTATGGGTCCCACCCTCCCACCCCCCGCCTGGGAGCCACCTAGACTGACCGCAGATATCAGCGTGCTCAGGCCACTCCCACACCCTCGATGCCCTCTTTTCTAGCGGGCAATAAACTCGTGAAATCTCTCATAAGTTGTAATATTTTAACGTAGTCGCCTTCAAGACCTCATTCATTCCCTTAGTAGTCACTGAATACGCTTGTGCAGGCACCTCAGGGAGGGAACGCCTAGGACGCTCTGAGAATTCTGAATTCGCTCTTCCGGCTGCCACCCCCTAGGCCCTTCTAGAACAGAGAATTTGGATTCCGACGGGCACAGCCGGAGTCCGCGGAGTCCAGCCTAGGCACCTGATGCCGTCTGGCCGGCAGCCTCCCGAGCTTGGACTGGACCCCAGAGCCTGCTGGCCTGCTGGACACCGGCGCGAAGCAGCAGAAGGGGGAGCCCAGGCGGGGCCCGGAGTGGACGGGGTGTGGGCGGAGCCTAGCTGGGGCGGCTTAGGCATTGGCTCCGTGGGCCAGGGGCGGGGATTCAGGGGCCAAGGGCTGCACTGTAAGTTCACAGCTGGGTTCGGCTCCCACCGCTGTGCGGTCCAGCTCCGGAGCTTTTGCCGCCCGCGGGTCAGCTGCTTAAGCGTTTCAAGGTGAGTTCGCGCCGGGACTCTGCAGCCTGTCTGCAACTCCTAGGGCACCCCCAAAGAGGACCATCCCTGTGGCGCCCAGTTCCATATTGTGCCCAGGCCCCCCCTCCTCACCTCCACGCAGGTTCTTTCCCAGGAGCCTCGAGCTCCACGGTGTTCCCTGCCTGTGCCTCGGTCCTGCTGGCCACAGCCGTATCCCCTCCTCCTGCAGGGGACCGTGCATCCAGAGCCCGAACTCCCGGGCCCGCCCTCCACCCTGCGACGGAGCCCCACCCTACCCCTGGGACCTGGGAGCGCTCTCCCAATGTCCTGCGTAGCGGCCCCGGATGGGGGTCGTATTTTTAGCCTATAGTGAGGGGTCCTCCTATCTTTAGCCACGGCAGCGAGCGTCCTGAAACGGATCCGGTCTGGGTTGGGCTGGGCTGCGCTCGGGCAGCGGGCGGGGAGGGATCGGCGCCGGAACCCGAGCTGGAGCTGAGGAGCTGGATCCGCGGGAGCCAGGGGCGGGGGCCAGCACGCCCCAGCGCTGGCCTTGCGCCACATGGACACTCGGACATCGCTCAGGCCGGAAAGCACAGGGGAGGCTCCTCCCAGAGCTTGGAGACCCGGCAGGGCCCCCGATCGCCCCTTTTCCCCCATGATTGTCTGGTTGTGATACCAGAAACCCCCGGCAAGAGAATAAGATCCCGCAGACAATCCGCAGCTGGTACGCTTACGTGCGGCTCCTTGGGGGCGCCTGCCTGGAACCCGAGGCGCGCTGGAGACCGGTGCGAGCCCGGACTCCTCCCGAACGTGGGGCAATAGAGCAGGCGAGCGCGCCACCTAGCGGCGGCGGATCCGCGCGCCGCTCCGCACCGAGACCTCGGGAGACCCCGCAGCCTGGCGAGGGAGATTCTGCCCAGGCTATGTTGTGGCGGGTGGGAGACGGTGGACGCCTGGAGCCAGGAGCTGTTGGGTTTTGGTCTTGTTGAGAGCACTGTCCCCAGACACCAAAATGCTTGAAGAAAGCCCTACAGCTATTTGCTGAATTCAAGGCCGGGCTGTGTCTGCTGTCACTTGCACTATGGCAGTGGGGTCTCCAGTAGCCCTCTGGTGATGGCTTTATTATCAGCCCATTTTATGGATGGGGAAGGTGAGGCCATAGAGGAACAGTGTCTTTCCCAAGATCAGAGTGAGTCCCAAGTGGAGATTCAAGGTCAGTCTCCCGTAAGGTCAGGGGGCTGCTCTTTGAACACCTCTGGTAGGGTAGTATTACTTGTGACAAAAGGGGCTCTGCCTCCAGGAAGTCATTTTCTTTTAAGGAGGCCCTGGGCTGCTGGTTCCTTGTAACTAGCTGGGTGACCTCAGCAAAGTTACTAAACATCTCTGAGTTTCAGCTTCTCCCTCTGTAAAAGGCGGTAATGACGCTCACCATGCTGTGTCTGGGAGCATTAAGATGGAAGCTGTACATGAGCAGCTGGAGCTTGGGGTCTTATGGTTGCCAAATTCGAATTCTTGGGGCTTGATGGTTGCAATTCTCAGCTCTCCCCTGGGTGGTTGACACTGGCCCAACCCTTCCAAGCTAGCCTCAGTTCTCCCCACATCTGGAATTGGGCGGTACATCTGGCTCTGAGTGAGACAGCTGTCAGGGACGCCCAATTTGTTGTGGAAACACTCAGGCTGTCTTGGCGCCCCTGTGTGATGGGAGGGAGGACCTGGCCCAGGCTCTGAGCACATCCTACCAGTCAGTCCCACTCTCCATGAGCGAAAAGGAAGGAAAACCCACCCCAGGACTTCTTGCCTGCCAAAGGGACACGTAGAATATGTGTCAGTGTGCCCTCCCACCCAGGGCTGGCATGGTGGGCACAAATGTATGTTAAATGAATGAGTGATGGGACTCCAAGACCTCGAAACACCCAGTGTCTCACCCGCCCTACCCCCAGCTCCTTAAAGCTTAACTGGAAATCTGCCACCGGAGAGTCATTCCTTTGTTTCCTGTTAAACTGCAGGTGCTCTGGGAGGGGCAAGATGTCCGGTCTCTGTGGCTCAGCATGACTGACCCGGGTGTCCGGTCCTGGGGTGGGGTTTCCTGCGTGAGAGTCTGGGGGAGTGAAGAGAGTTGGGACTCTGCCACTCCTCCTGCATCCTCCGTCCTCCTTCCTGTTCCCTCCTGCCAGCCCTCACTCTGCCCAGGATGGGGCAGAAGAGCTGGCAGAGGCAACCTTGCCGCTGCTCGGCCCCTCCCTGGCCAATTTCCCACCTGCTCAGCCTCTGACAGCGGAAATGGAGACAGCCGTGAAAGAGGGTGGGCTCATCTGGGTCCCCGCTGGGTGACTTTGGATACGTTTCTTTCTTTGCCTTTTGTGCTCTGATTCTACATCTGTATCCACGTGTCAGGCCAATCCCCCCACCGTGGGGACTGGAGGGAGTGTTTGCAAGGCTTCCTTTTTCTGTTAAACCTGTATGACACCCCTCCATAGTGTGTTTATTATTTCCATGTTAAAAATATTATTTTTTCTGATTTCATAAATATGTGCATATAAATAATACGTGCTTATTATTAAGAACTTGAGCTTACAAAAGTATGAATAAGAAAGACAAAGTCACCGGAAATTCTGCCACCTCGAGAGAACCAACATCAACATTTTGGTGACTATCCTTTCAAATTTACACATCAGTTTATATTGGGCTGTCGGAAAAGTCATGATGTATTTTTTTCTATGTTTTTTGTGGCAAAAATGCATCATGACTTTTCCGACAGCCCAATTGTAATGAGACCAAATGTTACAGATAATTTTTATTGAGGACACCTTTCCTCCCATGTCACTGACCCCATACCCCATACCCACCCCCCACCCCAGTGTAGGTAGCCCATATAACAACCTTCCACATCGTTCTCTGTTCTTATATCAGATATAATCCTATGTAGACCTGTATATGAACATATACATGCATATATGGGGAGGGAGAGGGGAGCTGGTCAATACTTTCAATAAATGGAATCTTCTATACTACATTTTTGCATTTTGCTTCTCTCCCTCTGCAATGCCTTGTGGGAATTCCTCCAAAGTGTCTTATAGCTCTGGTTTTAAAATGGGGATGACAGGAGGGTGGTTGTGATAATTAGAGATGTATTTGCAAAGAACTCAGCAAAATTCCAGACACAGAATAGAGTCCCCTCCAAAATATTTGTACCGCTCCATCTTTCCCTTAGGTGCTGGGGCAGGGAGAGAGACAGAAACTAATTAGACTCAGCCCCTGCCCATAAGGAACTCCTAATCAGGAGGAGGAGAAAAGGGAAACTCTGAAAAGATGACCCTCACATCCAGGTGGGACATGATTGAGCCAAATAGGGATGTCAGTCATTTGGCTATAGGCAGAACACATGTGTGCATCCAGCCCTGTGCCAGGCCTGAGTGGGTGAGACGGAAGTTACAAGATCGCCGCCCTTGGTCAAGTGGAGAACTGAGGCCAATCTGTGAGACCCCCAGGCGATTTGGCACTTGTCGTGTCTTGGGGCACCTTTGATGTGCAATAGGGGGGTAAGTGCCCCTGTGATGGTAATGGCAAAAGACCAGAGCCAGGACTTTGTCTGGGACTTCATGCCTGTCACTCAGGTGCCAGGTCCTCAGTTTCCCCACTTGTAAGGGAGGGGCTTGGCGCTGATGATCCAGGCCCTAAGGTGCAGCAAGTCTATGACTGAGCACATGCTTCTTCCAGGGTCCCCGCAGCACAGCGGCTCCCCCTTGGGCTCCCAGGGCTGGCGCAGGTGGCCCAGAAGCCAGATAGATGCATGCCTCTGACTTTTGTCCTTCTGTCCCTTACTTGTTCCCTTGGTGTTTCAGCTCCTCAGCCCCAGCCCGGGGAGAGACACTCGGAAGGGCAAGACCAGAGAGCACTGCTGCGTAGGCGATCACCTTTCTGCTTCCAGTTTTCAGAAGAATTTTCAACCCTTCTGGAAAAGAGTGATTTTTATTATCTCAACCCTCCAACTTCATCGATAGTTAATCTTTCTTTTTCTAATTCCTTGAGCCAACTTTGGTCCTACTTTTAGCCCTTTGGCAAGTTTATGGTGTCTGGAGTTTTTGGTGTTTCTGATTGAGTGGTGAGAGGCTGTGGTCTCGGCGAGTGGACTGTCCCCAGCCTCGGCAGCCAGGCCTGGGTGGTGAGGTCACGATGTCCACCAAGGCACCCATCTATCTGAAGCGCGGCAGCCGCAAGGGCAAAAAGGAGAAGCTTCGAGACCTGCTGTCCTCGGACATGATCAGCCCACCGCTGGGGGACTTCCGCCACACCATTCATATCGGCAGCGGTGGAGGCAGTGACATGTTTGGTGACATCTCCTTCCTGCAGGGCAAGTTCCACCTCCTGCCGGGGACAGCAGTCGAGGAACCTGAGGAGGATGGCACCTTTGACCTCCCCTTCCAGTTTACCCGCACTGCCACACTGTGTGGGCGGGACCTCCCCGAAGGGCCGTCCCCTCTGCTCAAGAACGCCATCTCCCTCCCAGTCATCGGTGGGCCCCAGGCCCTCACCCTGCCCACAACCCAGGCCCCACCCAAACCCCCTCGCCTGCACCTGGAGACCCCTCAGGCCTCCCCACAGGAGGCAGGGAGTGTGGACATCTGGAGAATTCCAGAGACTGGCTCGGCCCGCAATGGGCTGACCCCTGAGTCAGAAGCCGAGGAGCCCTTCCTGTCCCATGCCAGCTCCCTGCTCTCCCTGCACGTGGACCTGGGGCCTTCCATCCTGGACGACGTCCTCCAGATCATGGACCAAGACCAGTTGCCCACATAGGCCCCTAGGTGGGCCAGTCTGGGCGCCCAGGCTGGGGTGAATGTCGGAGGCAGGGGGTGGACACGACCCTGGCCTAGAAGTCGGGATCCCAAGGTCCCGCCTGTGTGGTCACTGGCCAGCGATTTCTCACTTTGAGCCTTTGTTTTCCTCCCACCCTCTCCCCATGGGCAGAGTGCGCCTCATCGTTTTTCCCTAAAGCCCACGGGGACACGTGCAGCACTCAGCCCACAGGACCCTGAGCATCGTGGGCCACCTGGACCCCCACTGCCAAATGCTCCTCCTTCCCTCACGTCCCTCAGATGAAAGCTGTGCTGAAATGGACTCCCCTTTCACCTCTCTTCTGCCTCCGCCCCCTCAGAGGCCCTGATTGGGGGGTAGAGGAAGAGGCAGGGCACAGCCAGCCAGACTCTTGGTATCGTGTCCTGGACTGGGAGCCTGGCATCAGTGATCAATGGCCCTCTACCCCATACCCTCCCACATGACTCGGGTTCTGGTTGCAATAAAACTTGCTGCTGCTCATAGTTGCGCCCCCCCATACCTTTGTCCCTGAAGAAAGACCAGTCTATGCAACCTGGACTGACCCTTGGGGAGGCCCCAGCCCCTGACTTTGTGCAGAGCGGGCCCTGCCCTTTGGAAGATTCTGAGGACCGGGGCTGGGAGGGATCCAACAGGACTGATCAGCAGGCTCATCTCATCAGCGCTGTTGATTGAGCATCTACAGTGCAGTTGGCCTGCTCCAGGGGCTGGGGATGCCAGACAGACGCCATCCCTGCTCTCCTGGAGCTTACATTCTAGGGGGGAAGGATATTAAATTTGTAAGCAAATAAGATGATTTCCAACTGTGTTGAACACTATGAAGAAAATGTGATTGGGCAGGGGTGCAGGTGGTGTCGGGGCACATTCAGGGATCAGATGTGACTCTGAGCCAAGCCTAGGGCTAACAGACGTATGCTCAGGCATAAGCAAAGGCACTGAGGCACCAGGGTGAATGACAGAGAAGAACCGCCATGTAGTGAAAAGATCTCTGAGTCCTGCCTAGCCTGTGTGAGACTCAGTTTCCCCATCTTTAAAATGGAGTCAATGATACCTGCCTTGTAGGGTCATTGAGAAAACCAGAGATAATGTTTGGTTATGGTGTGTGACGTAAAGGAACTGGGGCTCAGGACAGGCAGGACTGTGAAGCCGGAAAAGCAGGCTGCAGTCTGAACACTGTGCTTGCTGCCTGCAGCTGAGGCGATGGGAACTGCTGAAGGATTTTAAGCTGGAGAGACACGTGGTCAGGTCCAGGTTTTAGAAGGGTCGCCACCCAGGCCAAGTGGAAGATGGAGCAGAGATCAACGAGGAGGAAGCCTTTGCAGGATGAGGAGGACCTGATGGGGCGGGGACAGTGGGGACAGAAAGGAGGAGAAAGCCTAAGGTGGGGCTTGGTCTCTGGAGGCCAGTGCTGGCCTCAGTGGAGCTCTTCTTCCATCCTCAGTCAGTTCTTTTCCATCCTTTTGACCCTACGAATCCCAGACCCCACCTCAGCCCCGGCCCTTCCTGCCTCGAGGTAGAGATTTCATACTAGAGGCAGAACTAGATCAGGAGGCATTTTGCTGGGCCACACAGCTTTTTTTATACAGGTGATGCATTTTTTTATTGTGGTAAAGTATATATAACATGAAATGGATCATTTTAACCAATTTTTAAGGGTATGCTTCAGTGGCATTAAGTACATTCACATTATTCAGCAACCGACGTCACCATCCATCTCCAAAACTTTTCATCTCCCCAAAGTGAAACTTCATACCCATTAAACAATAACTCCGCATTCTCCCTTCCCCTCAGCCCCTGCAACTGTCTCTGAATTTGATTTCTCCAGGGACCTGATATGAGTGGAATCATACAGTATTTGTCTTTTTGTGACTGGCTTATTTCACTTAGTATAATATCTTCAAGGTTCATCCATGCTGTATCCTGTACTGAAATTTCCTTCCTTTAAAAAGCTGAATAATATTCCATTGCCTGTATACATCACATTTTGTTTATCCATTCACCCATCGATGGACACCTGAGTTGCTTCTACCTTTTGGCTGTTGTGACTAATGCTGCTGTGAACACAGGTGTTCAATATCTGTTTGAGTCCTTGCTTTCAATGCTTGTGGGCTGGATCATATCATTCCATGTTTAATTTCTTAAGGAACCACCGTATTGTTTTCCATAGCAGCTGCACCATTTTACATGTCCACCAAACATTCTGTTTTTGATCTGAAAAATTTGCCTAGAGATTAGGGGCTTCACTATCTGTAGTGGGGTTTAAACCCAGGTCTGTGAGACCCCAAAGCTTATACTTGACTGTAACCCTCTCCCCTGCAGGGGTTCAGCTTCAGACCCTGGTAAAGTGTGAAGACAAAGGGTAAGCAGCTGAAGGGCCAGCGTTTTCTTGCCTGCAGGCTCCCCCTCAGCATGTGGGTGGCTTGTCCCTGTGTGTTCGGGATGGGAAGACAAGAAAAAGGAACACCTTCCTTAGAGCTTTACCCAGCTAGAAGGCAGCATTCACCCCGGACCTGAGCTGAAGCCAGAGTAGCCATGAAAAGGGGGCCGTTCTTTTCCTGGGTCCCCTGGAGCTGCTCCCCACTCACCCTGCATCAGGCACCAGTCCAAAGGCCCTGGGAAACCACTCGGGGCTGTCACTTCAGGTGGAGAAAGGGAACTAACTAGCAGGGGACCTGAAGCATCAGATTAACTTGGGAGACCTGCATATACCAGGGGTGGAGAGAAAGATTTTCTCTCTTCAGCTTGTTCAGTGGTGTTCAGGCACCATGTCCTACAAATACCACCCACAAAAAGAAATTCCGCATAACAGGAAAAGTTGTTGGACAATCAAAAATTAAAAAAAAAAAGACAAATGCCCCTACAGTCCACCGTCTTAGATGCCCAACACTCATAATGTCCTTATGCTGTATTACACTTTTAAAATATTATATATCCTCCCTAGCATAATGCATCTATCCCTCTGTCAAAAATACAGTCCCTCTTTCTCCAAAAGGCGACAACTCAAAATCTTGTCAATTACTACATCTACTTCCAAATCTAAGATTTCTATATAGATGATGTCCATTCCTCCTGCCATTTCTTTACCAGCCCATCTTAATATTTTGGAAACTATGAACTACACTGTAAAGTTAATTACCATCAATATACCCTATAGACAAGAGTGGAGGGAAAGAATAATGGGAGAATTAAAATATATAAAATATATACTGGATATACGAAGAAAAGAAAGCTACAGACTTTTTCTACAACAAAGCTGTAACTGGTAGCAATCAATTCCCTCCTTCACTACTCAGTTTATGTTCCCTCTGTCCTCAGCCTGTATCTTGGCTGTTAAGGGTTTTTTACCAGGTGACATGTTCCAGACCCTGATTTTTAAAGAATCTGACCCCTTAGTGAATCTCCCTGTATAGAATTGACTTTCTCCCCAAACTTCTTATTTTGAAAAACTTCAAACCTACAGAAATATTGAAAGACTAGTACAATGTATATCCATACACCTTCATCTAAATTTGCCAATTATTACCATGTTGCCTCAATTGCTTTATTTCTGCATATAAAAAAATTTTTTCCTGACCTTTGAAAGTAAGTTGTAAGTTGCCAACATTGTTACACTTCATTCCAAATACTTCACCACTTATTTCCATTAAGTCTTTATTTAGGTAGCTTGGGCTTTATTGGGCTTCTTCAATCTGTGGCTCCATGTATTTCATCATTTTTGGAAAATTATCAATCATTTTCTCTTTAAATATTGCCTCTGCCCCTTTCTCTCTCCCTACCCACTGGGACTCCAATTAAATGTATCTTAGATCTCTATATATCCTCTATGCTTCTACTCTAATTCTGTATTTTCTGTCCTTTTGTCTTTCCATGATGTATTAAGGAAAACTTCTTCCTACCTATTCACTGGTTCTCTCTTCAGTTCTGTCTAATCTGCTTTTTAACCAACTCATTGTTTTCTTCGTTTGGGTTACTGTATTTTTCAGTTCAAGAAGTTCTATGTGACTCTTTAAAAATTCTGTTGTGGCAATTTTTTTTTTAAAGATTTTTTTTTTTTTATTGGGGAATTGGAGGGATGGGAACAGCGCTGGGGAATTGGGGAAGGGGAACAGACAAGTTGCTGTCCTTTTGTGTTCTTCAGTCTAGTTGTGAAGGACGTTGCTTCACTGGCCCAAGTTGGCACCATCATTGCGCTCTTCCCTGGCGAGGCAGATCAGTCGCCGGCTTCTGGCGAGGCAGATCAGTCGCCGGCTTCTGGACGGCCACTCACAGTGGCTGCTGGGCGCTCACGCTGGCTGCTGGCTACACACGGTAGCCCATGGCAACCCACTGCAGCAGGGGCTGCAGCCTATGCCGTTGCCAGTGATTCACGGCAGCCCAGCTCCAGGTCGAGCTGTTGTTCAGCATCTTAGCTGTGGAGGACAGTGTCACTGGCCCTCATATGTGGGATCTGAACCGGGGCCCTCTGGCATCCCAAGCCAGTTCTTAACCATCGCGCCACTCGGCCGGCCCTGTTGTAGCAATTCTTAATAGGTGCTTGTTCCCTGCAGATATTTTTATGCTTGTCTTCACCTTCTTTATACACGGTAAGCAATGTTATCTTATGGTTATTATCAGATAATTCCAGTATCTTAAATCTTTGTAGGTCAATTTGTGCTTTCTGTTGTGTGTATCAGTTCTTGTGCAAGGTTTCTTGTTTCTTTGTGTGCCTGATTACCTTTGACTATGGACTGGATATCATATCTGGTAAAATATTTTTAGAAATAATTTGAGGCCTTGGATGGCAGTACATTCCTTCAGAAAGGATATTGCTTGGTACCAAATATGCTTGTTTTTGCCAGGACTAGGAGCATTATAAAGATGGGTCCAGGGCCGGCCAAGTGGCTCAGTTGGTTAAGAGCTCGCTCAAGAGTGTGAGCTCTGAGCAACAGGGTCGCCGGTTTGATTCCCTGCCCGAGCTGAGCTGCTGCTGAGCTTCCAACAGGTGGCAGGATGGCTCAGCTAAAAAAAAACAAAAACAAAAAAAGATGGGTCCAATTTCAACCCAAGTTTAATCCAAGTTCAAGGCTTGAGTATTCCTGAGCCACCCAGATTATATGATTCTGGGCTACAAGTCCATAGAAATAGGGGTCCCATCTTAAAGTGTGTGTGTGTGTGTGTGTGTGTGTGTGTGTGTGTGTGTGTGTTGGTGGTGGGATATCTGACTTACCTTGGGCAGGCTCTGGGTTTTTATTTTTGACCCTCCCCACCAAAGACAGCTCAGTTTCACAGTTATAGCTTCCAGATCAGTAAATATCTCCAGGACAAAAATTGTTTTGAATTCTGGGCTTACCTCTTTGGATTTTAGCTTCCTAAACATTGGCCCAGTAATTTCGCACTATATTATTTGCTTTTCAATGGTTTTAAGTTTGTTTTTGTTTTTGTTTTTTTTTCACTTTCTCTGATATTTAGTTTGTCTTAGTGGAAGGGTTGGAATTAAATACCTACCCAGGGGCCTATCTCCCATTAACTACCTGAATGTAATATTAAGAAGATCCCCAAGATTTCATTTCTATTTCTCCCCGCCCCCACTGGGTAATAGCAATCCTATTACCCCTTGACAATAAGAGTCAATCACCCCAGCCAATAATGGTACCCTCTTTTTACCTTCTTGCCCAGTGGATGTGGACTGCAAAATGACCCACTGGCAGTCTCAGCTCCTTATTTAGAGAAATCATTATTGTGCCCCCTGGAGGAAGCATTCCTCTCTTTCGTCCTCAAGGCTCTAGATCAGCAAAAGCTGAGTCACAGAAACAGGAAACATTTTGCAAAAGTGTCATTAGTTGAGATGGCAAGTGGCTGCACCCTCCCCTCCCCCACTTCCACTCCTTGATTCCTGTCTACAAGAGAAACACTATATACTGGTCACTGGTCACTTCTTAGAGCATGTAGAGCATCTACTGTTCAGTGATGTAGCATTTCTTAAAAAAAAATTCTACAAGACCCAAAAGTCTTTGATGCTGGGCTCATAAACTGCCTTTCCAATTGTACAGAACTAGCCTACTTAGTGTTACTCATATTTTATTTTAAAACTTTACTGAACTATACATACAGGAAAGTACACAAATCTTGTGTAGTTCAATTCATTTTTACCAAGTGAACAAACCTGTGTAACCACTACCCAGGTGAAGAAAAGGAATATTACTAGCAACTCAGCAGCTACCTCATACCCTCTCCTTGTCACTGTCCTCTAAAGGTAACCACCCTACTGACTTCTATCCCCATAGATTAGTGTGTCTGTTTATGTGACTTTATATAAATGGAATCATACAAGATGTCCTCTTTTAAAACTGACTTCTTCTATTCGATATTCAGTTTTTGAGATTCATTCATGTTCTGTAGCAATAGTTTATTCTTTTCATTGTTGATTACTACATTCTATTCTTGTGGGCATTTGGGATGTTTCCAGTTTGGGGCTATTGCAATTAATGCTATTGTGAACATTCTTTTTTTTTTTTTAAGATTTTTATTGGGGAATTGGGGGGATAGGAACAGTGCTGGGGAATTGGGGGGAGGGGAACAGACAAGTTGCTGTCATTTTTTTTGTTGTTCTTCAATCTAGTTGTGGAGGATGTTGCTTCACTGGCCCAAGTTGGCACCATCATTGCACTCTTCCCGGTCGAGGCAGATCAGTCACAGGCTTCTGGACGGCCACTCACTGCGGCTGCTGGCCGCTCACGCTGGCTGCTGGCTACATACGGTAGCCCATGGCAACGCACTGCCACAGGGGCTGCAGCCTACGCCGTCACCGGCGACTCATGGCATCTCAGCTCCAGGTTGAGCTGTTGTTCAGCATCTTAGCTGTGGAGGGCAGTGTCACTGGCCCCCATATGTGGGATCCGAACCGGGGCCCTCTGGCATCCCAAGCCAGTTCTTAACCATCGCGCCACTCGGCCGGCCCTGTTGTGAACATTCTTGTACATGCTTTTTGGTGTATATATAGATCCACAAATGGAAATGCTGGATCAGAGTATGTGAATGTTCAGCTTTAGTGCTAGCACACTGCTTTTGTCAGCTCAGGCTGCCATAACAAAATACCAAAGACTAGGTGGCTTCAACAACAGACATTTATTTCTCACAGTTCTGGAGGCTGGGAGTCCAAGACCAAGGTGCCAACAGGTTCAGTTCCTGGTGAGAGCCAACTTCCTGTCTTGTAGACATCTGACTTCTTGCTGTGTCCTCACATGGCTTTCCTTATGGAGAGAAATCAGTCTTCTTCTTCTAAGGACACTAATCCCATCATGAAGGTCCCACCCTCATGACCTCACCTCACCCTAATTACCTCCCAAAGGCCCCACCTCCAAATATCATCACATTGGGGGTTTGGGCTTCAACGTGAATTTTTTTTTTGGTGGAGGCGGAGGGTGGGGGTGGGGGTGTGAACAAACATTTAGACCATAACACATACTTCTGACTCTTGCATTGGAGTCACCTCTGGTACCCTTTGTCCTCACAATCATTCAGTTCCCAGGGGTAAAAGAGTATACCAGTATTATCTCTGGTTTTTCTTCCAGGCTGCTGACACCTATTCTGCAAGTTTGGAGGAAGGTAGACAATGACAAATACGTCACAACTCTCATCTGCCAAACCCAATTTTAAGGCACAGTGATGGCAAGATGTGCTCTGATTCTGAATTATTAAAATGGGGAGAGAGGACACGGAATATGTGCATCTTGGAAATGATGACATAAGGTATATGACAGAGACAAGACCAAGCCCTGGAGACTCTGACAGTTATACATGGAACAGAGGATGGAGAGCCAGAGAAACAGGCTGAAGGAACTGACAGTGTGATAGGAGGACGGCTGGGTGCATGTCTCAGAAACCTGGAGCTGAGTTTGATAAAGGATGGAACGGCCACTTGTGTCATGGGGGTTGACAGGTTGTTGGGGACAGAGGAGATCTCTAAGTCTGTTGAAATGGAGGTCATGGTGACTTTGTTAGGAGCTATTTCAAGTGAACTGGTGGGGGGGGGGGATCTCCATTAAATTGGGCAGAAAGACTTGGAAATAAGTCAACAGAGATAGGGAGTATAAACAGAACACTTGCTATGAAAAGGTAAAAAGAAATAGGGTGATAATTGAAGGCAGACATGGGCTTAAGGAAGAGCTTTGCTTTTTTTAAAGAGAATATTAAGCCATGTTTGTACACGAATTTGCGTGGTTCAACAATGAAGGAGAAATGAATGGTACAGATGGGAGAGGAATAGTTGCAGGAGGGGAAGTTCTTCAAAACCTAAGTGGAGGGAACAAGCTTAGATAGGAGTAGGAAGCAAGAGAGGTGGGTACCAGTGAAGTTGGTGGCTGAGTTTGGTGGCAGGAAGGTGAGGTAACTTTTATCAGACCCCAATATTTAAGCCAAAGAGCTGCTCAGTTCTAGGCGTTAATTTTCCTCTCCCTAAAATGGGAATCTGTTTAGTGGCCCAAGTGGACTATGCACTCACTACTCTTACCTCCCGCTACCGACCTGTGACTGAGAGCAAAGGGTTAACCACGAGATTAAAGGTCGGGAGGTTGCAGGACGCATGCACTCGATCTAGCCCATCTTTGGAACTGCCAGTTTTCACAACCTCTAGCCTTCTCCTTTCTGGACCAGGGTAGATCCTCTTCCCTCCCTCCTCCCACTCCTCCAAATGGAAGACGCAGGGCTCAAGCAGGAGGCTCGGGGCGCGCGCCCGTAGCCATCGCGCCTGCGCGTCGGGCTCCTCGGCTCTCGGGCTCTGGCGAGCAGGCTCGAAGCTTGTTCTCCGTCGCTCGCTCGGGCACGCGCGCGCGCTCGGGCGGCGCCTGCGCAGAGGGACGAGGAAACTAGGTTCCCCGTTAGGTCCCGGCGCCTGCGCTCTGAAAGGCTCCGGGCCTCCCGGCCTGAGAGAGAGGAGCAGGGAAGATGGCGGCCGTGGTGGAAAATGTAGTGAAGCTGTGAGTGGTCATTTCTTTCTCTCCTAGAGGCCGGGAGGTCTTGTAAGGAGCTTGGGAGGACGGGGCTGTGCGGGAATGGACGAGGCGAAGAGAGGGTAGTGCCGGGGGAGGCCATGTTGCGACTCCTGTGGAGGGCGACAGGAGACTCCGGAGAAGACGCTGCGCTTCTTTGGAAACTTGTGGAGGCCCTGAGGGGGGCACACGGGAACTCTTGACGGGCAGCTTCCCTGGGCTGTGTGGGGCTGTGCGGTCTCAGCGCTCCTTCAGGTTTACGGTTTCCAGAGTATGGCTCTCTCGTTGCGTACGAGAGACACAGTCCCGGGGTCGCTTCTAAGACGCCGCAGTTCGGAGGAGCCGGGCCGAGGGCAGACCCGGGAACGACCAGTGTCCCCGCGAAGCCCGGCCATCGACCCCTCCCAGTCGGCTATCCGCAGCCGGCCCTGGAGCAACAGGCGCGGCAGCTCTACGCGATTAAGCACCGCGGGGCTGCCCCGTGACGTGTGTACGTGTGTGTGTGTGTGT